CGAACAGTGGTCGGACCCGAGCAATGGTCGGCCCCGAGCCCTGCTCGGCTAGAGTTGGTTTTACCGTCGTCGTGTAGAGTTGGATTTACCAAGCTCACGTCGCCGAGTAGCCAGTGTCTATTGCCCCCTACTCTCAAGGTAGTGTATTGTCGATATCTTTTGAGAGTACGCTTGTAGACGAGGCAAGGTGTTTTATCAAAGTCGCTCGGTATCTCGTTTTGGATTTAGGACACATAGTTGACAGAGAACCAAACAAATGGATACTTTATTGAATAAAAGAAATAATAATTAGAAATCTTGCTAAATGTAGAGAAACAAAAACAACCACATTTGAAGGAAGAAAGGAAAGGTCAACAGCCCCCCTTAGTAGAAGTCCTGTCGTTGCCCCTCATTAAGGTATAGTAGCATTCCCACGACACTGGTTGTTCTTCTTTAATCTCTCCTACTCCACCCGGTGTTGGGAACTTCATGGACTGGTGGTATGTGGATGGTATTGCTTTGAGCATATGCATTGTCGGTCTTCCCAATAGTGCGATGTAGGAGGATGTGTAGTTAACGACCAAAAAGTCCACCATCTTGGTGACACTCTTCGGCCCACTTCCGAACGTTACAGGCAACTCTATCCTCCCTTCGGGAATGACTCGTTCCCCTCAAAATCCTACCAGCGGTGCTGGGCTGCTCTTAAGCACCTTTTCTCCTTGATCCATAGCTTTATAGGCTGTCTAGGAGATGATATCCGCCGAGCTGCCCCCATCCACCAAAATTCGATGTACTTTCACATTTGCTATCTTCAAAGCGATAACCAGTGCATTGTTATGAGGGTGGAGGAGGTGAGTCGCCTCGTCCTCTGAAAACTCGATCGTCACTGACCGGTCTGTAATATACGCGTGGTAGACTTCATTTTGTTCGCGACTCGCCATTGCTTCTCGYAGACCTGCTTTTCTTTTTCTCCCAGATTCTCTTTCTATGGGGCCTCCTATTATAGTTCGAATCTCTCGAGCTGGAGACTTGTCGCTTTCACCGTTTTGTGTCGCTTTAGAGTCCTCTAAATACTCTTTGAGGTAGCCGCTTTGGATTAGTCCTTCCACCTCTTCCTTGAGATCAAAACAATCCTGAGTTGCATGGACGTGATCCCGGTGGAAAAGGCAATATTGGCCTTTACTTCGTTTAGTTGACGGGGCCTTCATCCTTTCCGGCCACTTAAGCAACCTTTGGTCTTTGATCTCCATTAGCACTTGCTCGAGTGGAACGGTGGTCGGGGTATACTTTTCAAATTTTCGGGGTGGATCTTTCTGGCTACTTTAATCCCTCTTCTCCCA